CGTTATATTATAGGACTTACCAGAGATTTCTCTTGCACAAATTGAAAAGGACATGGGATCATCATCCTCATCTCCAGTATCTCCGGGTATCTCTACTACTCTCCTCATCTCCACTGTCAGTTTTCTCTTCACTAGATTCAACATCATCACTAGTCTGGGCACAACTGTCCTCATAGTTGTCAATCGCAACCATTGTATCAGAATCCGAGTTAGACTTAGGTTCTTCAACTACAATTTTTTCTTTTTTGAAGATCTGAAAACTTCTTCAGCCTTTCTTTTCTTATTTTTTGAAGCCTTAGGAACATATCGTTTAACGATGCTGCCTCTAGTTTATGCCATACTATACTATATACAAAAACATAATTTTCATATCAAAATATCGACCACTTGTTTATTAACACAAACAGAGTAATGCTAAAAAAAATATGCAAAACAAGTACCAGTTCCAACAAAACTCGACAATGCCATTGACATAAACACTATTAAAATCGACCAAAATACAATAATGATTTCTACGATAGGACAGATAAATATATCCAAAGCAAAAAATTAAAACTTCGCTACACTATCGATAGGCCAGATAAACATAAGAAATCAAAAATTTCTACTCATTATCCAAAGCAAAACGTCAGTAACGATTCCGAATAAAAATCATGAACTAAAATGAGTCAGATTTTCAAAACTTTAAGCAAAAAATCTAAACTTCACTACACTATCGCAATAAAAAAAATCAAATAGGCTAAAAGTTATTGAAAACACGATTAAACTTACTTGAGAGGAAGAAGATTCAAAAAGATCCAATTGAACTTGGGAAGAAGATCGAAAAAGATTCAACTGAACTTGGGGAACAAGATTGATGAAAAAAAAAAACTTCACTTCGTTTTTCAAGAACGATTATAGGAACTCACTTTTCTTTATGTTTTCAATAATGGAAGATGGAAGTTTTGTTGGATAATGATCAGTTTTATGGAGGTCAATGATTTCGTAAAGCAGGTTTATGGAAGAAGACGAAAATTTCTTTGAAACGTTCTGAGGTTTCCTCGGAAAATGTTTATACCTAATATTATTAAATACTTTTTTATACTTCTTGGGATTGTAATTTAATTTTTATTATGGAGGGATGAATTTATTTAATGTTGAAGTGTTGGGATGAAAATAATATTTTATATACTTGTATTTTTATGGGATAAGGGACTGAAAAATACCCCAACTTTGGTCGGATTTGTTGTTGCGATACTAAACTTTCATGAGGACCTATTACCTCCCTAGACTATTTAATACCATATTTTTTACTCCCTGAACTATTTAATAGTGTATTTTAAAGGTATATATGTGCCCACGTGGACACATTACTGTTTATAATTTTGCATTATTTTTTATGTCTACGTAGGCAAATATATATGTTTAAAATACGGTATTAAATAGTCTAGGGAGGTAATAGATCCTCAATGAAAGTTTAGTATCGCAACAACAAATCCGACCAAAGTTGGAGTATTTTTCAGACCCTTATCCCTATTTTTATTCCCAAGTTCTAATGATGAAAAGGCCCATGACCCCACAACCCAACCCCACTTTTTCACTTTTTATATCCCTAACCCTACAAATTAACTCAAAAAGAAATTAGGTGGCTATTGTTCAAATTAAGTTTTAAAGGTGTCCCCAATGCCAGTTCTTCTCGGGTAAGTTTCGAAGTTTTAAATCTATGTTTAGATGTGGGATAAGGGTCTGAAAATTACCCAACTTCGAATTTGCTGTTGCGATACTAAACTTTCATGAGGACCTATTACCTCCCTAAACTATTTAATACTGTATTTTAAACATATTTATTTGCCCACGTGGACATAAAAAATAATGCAAAATTATAAATAGTAATGTGTCCACGTCTGCACGTATATACCTTTAAAATACACTATTAAATAGTTCAGGGGGTAAAAAATACGGTATTAAATAGTCTAGGGAGGTAATAGGTTCTCATGAAAGTTTAGTATCGCAATAGCAAATTCAACCAAAATTGGGGTATTTTTCAGACCCTTATCCCTTTATAATCTTGGTAATTTATCATTTCAATAAATTTTGTTGGGATTTTAGGCACATATGGTTCCATTTTAGAGTTTCTATTTTGTCTGTATTGCTTCAATGAGTTATAGAACCGTGTAATTTACCTGTATTCAGTGTTCAATTGTACATCCTGAAATGTAGGAATGTGATTTTTATAGGAAGTTTGTACTAAATCTCAAAGATCGCTATGTCAACTGAGGTTTGTGGTATTGTACTGGGTAAGTTTCGAAGTTTTAAACTCTATGCTTAGATGTTTATAATTTTGGTAATTTATCATTTCAAGAAATTTTATTGGAATTCTTTTTAGGCATAGATGGTCCCATTAACTAATGTGATTTAGTTGTATGAGAATAGCAATGAAATATGGAAAAGAAAAGAAAAGAATATATGCCTTTTTTAACAAAAAAAATACTATATTTTTAATTTATTCTCTTTTTTAGTTTGTTTCAAAACATTAAAGAATGTTTCTTTTTTATGGATCAAATTTTAAATTTAGGTTCCACATGATAGGTTTAAGACCACGAGATTAAAAAATATTTTGGTATATATATATATCTTTAGTTTAAGACCATAAACAATAAACTTTTTTATTAAAAAGAAAGAAATAACTTTGAATCTCACATATAAAAAAAATAATTAAAATTTAGGCCTCCAATTTATTTTTGATTTTAGGCCACTAATTAGCTTGAGCCGCCACTGCGGCTAGATTTGATCATGTTGACAAGTTATAACGTGATTATTATTTCCTTCCTATATGATCATGCATGGTTTTATGTCGCAAAGTATTGAGAGTTCCGAAATTTTCTTGACCAAGCCAGCCTTCTGCTTTACTAAAGTGTTCATCCTCTTCTTGTGATCTTGAATAAGTTTCGCTTTTATTTTTGATATTCCCATTTTGCATGCACTTCAACAAAATACACATACCGATTTATTAGTAGTAGAATAAAGAAAGCATGCACCATATATAATTGAAAAGAAAATTATGCTTTCATTCTTCTTTAAATTCTCCTAAGAGTCAGTCAACCAAGTTTCCTAACGGCTGGAAAAAAGAAGAACAGGAAAAAAAATCTTGAATTTCTTGTTACTAGATAAACAAGACTTGAAGTTATACTATTACAAGTATTAAAAACATAAAGAAAATTTATTCGCATTAATCTACAAAAAAAGAAATTAATGTATTTACAAGATCGGTGATGAATAGAATTGAGATTCAAAATCAGGAAGAGTTAATACTTGTTCTCAAAAAGGAGCTAGAGCTGTAGTATGTTTTCTGAGACTACTAATACATAATAGGAATTACTCAATTTATAGAAACTATAATAACAGGAATTACTCAATTTATAGAAACTATACTAATAGGAATTACTCAATTTATAGGAATTAGTACGCGTCCGCAATTACTCATTTTATAAAAGTTTATTTCATTTTGTGTATGTGGCACTTAGGCCCATTGATTTGAAGATAAAATTTTAAGTGGCGTACTACTTCTCCTAATAAACATAGAAATTAAGAATTTGTATAAAATTATCTAAAGTTCCTCAACCCTTATACAAATTTACAGCATGACAAAATCATAATTAATAAACAAGGTATTAGAATAACCTAAGTTGTCGAATTAGTAATTCACATATTTTTATGTTTATAAGTAAATACTTAGCTATGGACGGTTTCAGGAGAGGTAGACCGAAAAAGTATAGGTGAAAAGCGATTAATTAAACAGGTTATGCATGTTGCAGTTTCAACTTACCGACTTGACCTTTTATAGGAGAGTGTGGTGGGGGGAGGTGTGGATTTAGGCTAAAAGGTTAGTAGATAGTAGTGTGTTGTCTTGTTATCCGTTCATATTAATACTGCCTTCCCCACAGGAACTCAATCTTGCTTACATCGTTGTAGTATTGCTTCTGTAGCTTCTTGTCCTTCAGTTTTTGTTACTATACGTTGATTCCTTGTACATTTATTCTTATATTATTGTTTTGTAGTTTTTGTTATGTTACCATCTGATGTTTTTATTATTAGCTAATATTTATTGTACTTCTATTACTTCTTTTTGATGAACTGTTTTGGACTATTTATTCTTGAGTCGAAGGTTTATTGGAAAAACCCTCTCTACCTTTGAGGTAGGGGTAAGATCGGCGTCCACTCTATACTTTCCAAACTCCACTTTGTAGTATTACACTTGACATGTTGTTGTTTATTTATGAAACATGAATAAAAAATTTCAACTTCAATTTTAAATAATGAAGAAGTTCCAAATTTTCCAAAAAAGTAGGATTTCAACTTCCTAGTTGTAATTTTATTTTATTTTACAATGTAAAGAAATTTGACTCATAAGTTTATATTTTTGCTAATTAAGGGTCAAGTAACAATTCTTTGTTACTCTTAAGGTTCTTACTTCCCTTTATGTGCTTTTTCACGCCATCCCACCTGATGTTGGTGGCGCTAGCAGCGTTGATGTCTCCCTCATTACCTATTCCCTTAGTATCAACATTCGCTCTGATATCACTTTGTCACAGACTTAGTAGACGTTTGAACATGCGATATGAAATCATGAGATGTACTCAACATTTGGACATGCAATTTTATGCTGATTTAATTTCATGATTTCATATTATGAGATGAAATCTCAAATTCTCCAATAATCATAATTTGAGAATTTTAAATCATGATTTGAGATTTTTCAAATACAAAAATTGACTCACAAGTCTATATTTTGTAAAAACAACCTCACATATATATCTACTAACCATCATTTCATATGTAAATAAAATTTATAATTCATATCATTATTTTTTAAAATAAAACCATTTATATCTCATATAAAGATTATTCTCACTGACATAGAATTTATTATCACTTCAAATCAATTTCTACTCTACCATTTGTATTCAAAATTCATTAGTTTTTATAAATCAAATATATTTACCAATCAAATTGATCAACAAATGGCTCAAAGTAACAATGTTGGTTTGTCTTCTCAGCCATATGAGCGAGAAATGCAAATTCAACGTGAGAAGATTGTTCATACATGTGGGAGGATTATATTAAAACACTAGCTCACCACAACTTATGTTTTTTTTTAATTGAATTAAAGATTAATCAATAAATATTGTATTTTTTAGAATATATTTATGACAGTGTATGATGCGGTTTTATAAACTTGTACTTAATTGATAAGATTGTATAAAGAATTGAGACAATTTTAATAGTTGGCGGAATGGCCTGGGAGGCCCCTGTACTTGGCTTCGTTTGTCAGTTGACCCTTTTACTCATCACTTTGTAAAATGAACCCTTAAACTCAATGAAACTCTATTTTTTAAAATCCTCTAACCATTGACCGAGCTTATGTGGCACTGAAATGGCTTTGTTGGACAAATATGTGACCCCGTGCGTTTTGAAGCAAGTGAATACAATATTTTTATTTTGAAATTATCAAAATTATAAGACAAAACAATAATAATATTTTTTTTTTAAATACGGAAAACCTCCTTCTTCTTCACTCCACCCCACCCTGCCCCACCCTACCCCTTCTCTCTTCTTCTTCTTCAGCCCCACCCTTTTTCTCTTCTTCTTCTTCAACCTCAGCCC